TTTAATATTTATTTACTCTTGAGAGAGAGAGAGGGACAGAGGCGCAAGAGGGGAAAGGCAGAGAGAGGGGGAGACACAGAATCTGAAGCAGGCTCCGAGCTGTCAGCACAGAGCCCAACATGGGGCTCGAACTCATGGACTGTGAGATCATGACCTGAGCTAAAGTCAGACACTCAACTGACTGAGCCACCCAGATGGCCAAGTGTCAGACTCTTGATCTCAGCTCATGTTTGCTCTCAGTGTCATGAGTTCCTGGTTCCGTGCTGTCAGTGAAGCCTGAAAGGAAAGAAAGAACGAAAGAAAGAACAAAAGAAAGAAAGAAAGAAAGAGAGAGAGAGAGAGAGAGGAAGGAAGGAAGAGAAAGAAAAGAGAAAGGGGGGAGAGAAGAGAAGAGAGAAAAATCATTCAAGGAGCAGAGATGTGAATAGTATCTAGCTCATATAGTTGTGAGTATTCAATGAGAGAAGAGTATCTGGCATTTGACACGATGCCTGACACACAAGACCTTCAGCTTGCGATCCTTTTGTTGTTGTCTTCTGTAACTACTATTACTGTTATTGTAGCTGATCCTCACAGTATCTCAAATGGTATTATTACTATCCTCATGCTTTTATGATGAAGAAGCTAATGTTCAGAAAGGAGAAGTAACTGGCAAAACATGGAAGATGGCAGAGCCAGTGTTTGAGACCAGGGTTTTGTTTTTGTTTTTGTTTTTTTTTAACGTTTATTTATTTTTGAGACAGAGAGAGACAGAGCATGAACAGGGGAGGGTCAGAGAGAGGGAGACACAGAATCTGAAACAGGCTCCAGGCTCTGAGCTGTCAGCACAGAGCCCCACGCGGGGCTTGAACTCACTGACTGCGAGATCATGACCTGAGCCGAAGTCGGCTGCTTAACCGACTGAGCCTCCCAGGCGCCCCCCAGGGTTTTTTTTTTTTTTTTAACTCTTGCTGTGTGTTCCTGGTGTTTCCTCTTAAACCACGCTATCCCTTCAATCATATTCACACATATGTAATTAGCAAAGATGAGAAATGTATACTTAATCTATGTTTGTGTTTTCTAGCTCATTAAACATTCTACTATATCCTTCAAACATGTTTTTGACAAGCATATAACAGCGGTATAGGTTCTTTTGTTTTATCTGATTTTGTTGCCAGCCAAATCCATAGTAAGTAATATCTATTTCCACATGGTTTTGCCTTGGTATATCACTGGAAATTTATACTTTCCCTCTTGCAATTTAAACTATCTATACATCAAACGTTTAGACACATTGTGGCGGATATGGAAATGTGCTGCTTAGATCCCTCTCCAAGAATAGACTCACAGCCCAGGTGAATGCAGAGGTGGTGATTGACTGATACTTGCCCCTTCATGGTCAAACTCAGCTTCCAAGCCAAACCACACTCTTCTGGGAAAGGCCCCTGGTCAACAACTGAGCATGGGTCTTATTAATTCTGACCCACGCAGGATGCCTCTAATGGACAATCCAGAGCTCCCTGTTGGGTGTGCAGAAAACTTTTCCAGTCCTGGTTGGCAGTCAAAGGGCTTATCCAGCACGATCTTGTTTCAGCCCTTTATCTTTCCCAGGTACTTTCCTTCCCTGGGGGGACCCCATCTCAGTGTCTGCTTGTCAGAGAACCCAACCAGCGCAGATGGTACTTAAAGAGTCAGTGAAAGCAGACAGTAAAATAGGGTTTGGAGACTGGCTGTTTACCACCTGGCTGGACTATAGATCCCATCCCTTCTGTTATGTGGAGTGTAGACATCTCCCAGCACAACAGGAAATTCAGTGATAAAAACTTTCCGAAATGATAACTTGGAATTATATAACTATGGAGGGAAATGTACTGGCTGGTGCAATGATTGAGGCACTGAAATGTAGGAGGGGATGGGAGATAATACATCAAAAGACAACAGAATTTTATAGTTGTTATAAAATTTCTTTGACCCCCACAGGTAGATTACAAAAAAGCTGAGTGTGGTGAACAAACCATTGAAAACTAAGCGGGAGAGCTTTAGGGAAGGCGGGCAGGTGGAACTCTTCAGAGGTCGTCAAGATGGCCTGATCAGTTTGAATGAAAAAGCACACGTCAGATTTTATGCTATGAAGATGAACTTCTTTGAGTTGTTGTCTTGCACTTTATCTTACTAAGCTAAGGACATCTCTACATCCCCACCATGTGTCACTTTACAAACATTTCTGTTTAGCTTAGAAACTGGGTGCAAGTTCCTACTAGGAATAAAAAAAAAATCCCACTCTGCTGCATAAAAGAAAATTTAGATAAAAGGCCATGAAGAAAGGACAGGGTTTTCAGAGGGAGAAAAAAATTAAGGACAGTTGGGACATGGGAGAAGTAAGGAAGGCCACCATAAGGAAAGGGAGGTCTGCAGGAAGATTAAGAATTAGTTGAAAAGTGGAGTGAGAAACATATCAGATGGAGACAAAGGCATGTTTCGACAATTTCAGCTCAGAGTGGGATCGCGACACCAAAAAATGGAAAGCAGACCTTGCACCAGGAATGTAGGTGAGTGAATGAGTGTGGAAAAGGCAGAGTGCAGCATGAATGAGTAGAAAGCATAGGCAGAAAGTACCTGGGTGGCTCAACTGGTTAAGCGGCTGACTCCTGATATCTGCTCAGGTCATGATCCCACAGATGGTGAGATCGAATCCTGTGTCAGACTCTGTGCTGACAGCTCAGGGCCTGCTTAGCATTCTCTCTCTGCATGCCCCCTGCTTGTGCTGTCTCTGTCTCTCGGTCTCTCTGTCTCTCTGTCTCTCTCTCAAAATAAATTAATAAAATTTAAAAAAAGAAAAAAGAAAGAAAGCATAGCAGGCCCAGTTAAGCTGGGCTCCACACACCACACTAAAGGCTTTTTTATCCTGAATACATAGAAACCCATTGAAACGTTTTCAACAAGGAGAGACATCATAAGATTTACACTTTATTTTTTTAATGTTTATTTATTTTTGAGAGAGAGAGCTTGTGTGTGAGATAGTGGAGGAGACACAGAGAGAGAGGGAGACAGAGTATCTGAAGCTATGTCTGAGCTGTCAGCACAGAGCCTGGTGTGGGACTCGAATTCACAAACCATGAGATCATGACCTGAGCCAAAGTCGAGTGCTTAACTGACTGAGCCACCCAGGCACCCCAAGATTTATATTTTAAAGTTCCACTTTTTTCCTATCCATGTTGATTGTGGTTGACACCAGGAAAGCATGATGACCATGGTAGGTCAGTCCTACCAGCTGCCATGAGATTGAAGCTGGTACTGCCAAAGCGACTGCCATTTGGAGTAGAGTTGCAACAAGGTCCTTTTGGACTGGCTATTTTTGTCAAAGTTAAAACCAAATAGAGAATTGGCATGACTCTGAGACATCATCATATTATTCAATCAAACCTTGACCTTGCCAGTTCAACTTCTGTTTTTCACCTGGGATGAAGACATAAGCGTGGTGTGGCTTTCATGATATCTCAGAGTCAGTGATCTTCCAATAAACTGTGAACTCCTTCAGAGCAGAGACTGTATAAACCCAGGGCAGCCCCATAAATGGTCACCTCTAACAAAAACTTATTGAATGAATGAATGAATGAATGAACAAAGGAAACAACAAAAAGTAAAAAGTGAATATTTGGCTTAGGAATTAGGCTTCCAGAGACTTTTTTTTTTTTTTCTTTTCCTGAATGGCCTTATTTAGTCGCTCCCCCTCAGGACTATGAAAAGGAAATTCCAGGACAAACTCTAATGAAAAAATTTCCAAGTACATGTTTAGTGCTCTACTGAAAAGATTATAAACATTCAAATAGCATTCAAACTGCTTTCAACCATTTGATGGTTGAAATTTCTTTTTGTGAAAATCCAATCTGTTTTGCATCTCTACTTCTCATTTCTGACAGAGGCAATATTTACTAAAAATTTGCTTTTCCCACAGCTGAATGGCAATGGGAATAGTGTTTTCCCCTTTATGACCATCCCTCGAACAGAAACTAACGCAATAGGAGCTGATATAGAAGTGATATCGTTTCAATAAAGGGGTCCCTCTATTTATGACTAACAACATTAGAATAACAAGTAACTGTCAAATGTTACAAGATGAGAAATTGTTCTGGGGAAGATCAAACAGTTAGTGATTTGACTCACAACCATAGAAAATATGCCAAATAGTTTATCATTTAGTTTCCCACAATGAAAGAAATGAATCATCCTATGTCTATAAACAAAGTGTCTGGGGCACTTTGGGCCAACCAAAGGAAATTTAACAAAAGTCTCTAAAAACAGTAGTCTGTAAGTGAAAAAAGATACTCAAGTATCAAGTGAGACTTTAGGGAAGTTTCTCGTGTAGTTCTTTGCTCCCCACCATTGGGTGAATATCTAGAAATATACCAAGGGAAATCCTGTTTTGAACAATAATCTGTGTGAGTCCATGACGTGGAACCAGTTTGATCACCCCAAAATAAATGTATCTTTTCTTACTCATTCACAGAACAAGTTTTCACTCCAGGAATAAAAATCTCATCTAGTCAGTTTCGTGAAGCCCTACAGTGCTTAGTGCAACAGAGTGGGCCTTCAGGTCAGTCTGAAAAGTTACAATGACTTTGAAAAGTACTTCTGCTTTTAATAGCTAGTAAAACTTATAAGCACACATGTTCTTTATTACATCAGACCCACTTTGAAGAATCTGTCAGAAATAAAATATTACTATGATTATATGGATGTATGGAATGAGATGTTTATTGAAGTTTTGTCTTAATGACAACAATCCAGTAATGATCTAGATGATCGTAACAGAGGAACAGATTAACTGTTGTATTATATATTATATTAAAAAATGAATGACAATAATACACTACCAATATAGGAATCCCTAATATATTATTGACCTTGGAAAAATAACAAATTAAGCATGTTAATACTGAGGTATATAGAATGGCCATTTATTATATTTAAACAGAGTTTAGTCGAGCAGCGGCCAAACAGCACATAGCTTCTCAACACAATCAGAATATGTGTGAATCCACCTTTCTTCGCCACAATTTCATCAAAGCTCTTTTCATCTCGCTGTTTCTCAAGCTGTAGATCAGTGGATTCAACAGAGGTGTAAGAAGTGAGTAGGCCAATGACATCACCTTCTTTGTTTCTGGGGAGTAGCCAGATTTGGGTTGGATATAAGTCATATTGGCTGTGCCATAGAAGAGGGTCACAGACGTGAGATGGGAGGCACAGGTGGAAAAGGCCTTTTGCCTCCCAGTGGCCGATGGCATCTTCAGGATGGCAAAGAGAATCCGAATATAAGACAAGAGGATCAACACAAAGGGGACCATGACAATCAAAATGGTGCCAGTGAGCGCATAGATTTCAAACAGAAAGGTGTCTGCGCATGCAAGTTCTAGCACTGCTGGGGTTTCACAAGAGATGTGATTGATTTCATTGGGGCCACAGAAAGGAAAACTGAAAACCCATGTGGTCTGCACGGTAGCCACCATGATCCCTGAGACCCATGAGAACATTACTAATTTCATGAAAACCCTTTTGTTCATAATCATTGGGTAGCTCAGGGGATGGCAGATTGCAGCAAATCGGTCATAAGCCATCGCCCCCAGGAGAAAACATTCAGTCCCACCAAAAAGAAGAATAAAATACATCTGTGCAAAACATTCTGCAAAAGTAATTAATGTTTTTTCAGTGGAGAGGACCACCAGCGTTTCAGGCATAATGACTGCACTGAAACTCACATCCACCACAGACAGGTTCTGCAGGAACAGGTACATGGGAACGTGGAGGCTCTGTTCCAGGGAGATGATGACTATAATGATGGCATTTCCCATCAGAGTCCCAAGGTAAACAACCAAGAAAACCCCAAAGAGCTGCTCTTGGAGTTCAGGAAAGTTAGAAAAGCCCAAGAGGATGAATTCAACCACAGAGCTTTGATTTTGCCTTTTCATTTCAGTGGTGGAGAGTATATTATTTTTGTGGACGTATGTATATAA